TGTATACTAGTTCAGTGATAATGGACGTCATACTAAACTCCAAATTATACACAAGAAACTAAAATTAAAAATGATACAAGACTAACAAAGTCCAGAGGCTCCTGACTTGGGACAGGCGCAAAATGCGGCGGGGTTAAACATGTTTTTTGAGATCTCAACCCTCCCCCTATACCTCTAGCCAATGTAGAAAAAACAAACGTACAACAGTACGCAAAGTAAAACTGAGTTTAAGAGAAGTCCGAGTCCGATGTCTGAAAAGGAAACAAAAGAAAATAAACAAAATGACAATAATACATAAATAACAACAGACTACTAGCAGTTACTGACATGCCAGCTCCAGACCTCAATGAAACTGATTGAAAGATTATGTCTTCATCATATGAATATCAGGCACAATACCTCCTGTTAGGGGTTTAGTATTATACTGTCATAAAATATATGAGAAGAACATAACCCGTGTCATGCCAACAACTGGTTTTAGATTAAATATGTTTAATGCCGATGCAAAGACCCTATAAGTGAATCAATATTAAAGCCAAAATATGCAATTTTTAATGACCTGACAACAGTATCGTAACTATATCCCTTCTTAATAAGTCTGTTTAAAGGTTTTGTTAGCTTTTGAGGTGAATACTGACATTTTTGTGCTTTGTAAAGAATATTACCATAAAAGATTGGATGTGAAATACCCGAATGTATAAGATGTCTGCATGTTGAGTTATATTTATGAATGATGTCCTTATACCGATGATAAAATTTAGTAAATGTTTTGACTAGTTTATGATATCGAAAACCCTGGTGTAATAATTTTTCAGTAATATATAAATTTCTCTCGCTAAAATCTAATACGTTGTTACATACACGAGCGAATCGTTCAAGTTGAGATATATAAAAACCATAAGATGGTGACAGGGGAACATCACCATCTAAAAATTGATAATTAACGATAGGAAATAAAAAATCACCTCTTTTATCATAAATTTTTGTATTAAGCTTCCCGTTATTGATATTGATATCAAGATCGAGGAAAGGACAGTGGTCATTGTTAGTATAAGCTTTATTTAAAGTAAGTTCAACAGGATAAATATCTTTAGTATACATACTGAAGTTGTCATTATTTAGAGCCAATATATCATCCAAATATCTAAAAGTATTGTTAAATTTTTGTGTCAGATGTTGTTTCGATGGGTCTTTGCTGATTTTAGTCAAAAATTGTAACTCATAATAATACAAAAACAGGTCCGCAATAAGTGGTGCACAGTTAGTCCCCATTGGAATTCCGATAACTTGACGATATACGGAATCTCCAAAGCGAACAAAAATGTTATCAAGTAAAAATTCAAGGGCAGATATAGTATCAAAGCATGTCCAATTGACATAGCTCTTTTGTTTGTTGCTACTAAAAAATGACCTAAAAGAGTTTGAACATAGGTATTCGCATTCCGACTTTTTAAATGCCCATTTAACTAGGTGTGTGAATTTTTTCTTAATAAGAATATGAGGCAAAGTGGTTGTATATATAAAAGTAAGGTCTTGGTACTTTTGATGAATTTTTTCGTAAAAGGAGAAGACGTTCTGTATGTTCTAGGACAAAACTATGGCTCAATAGTTTGTTCTGATCGAGCAAAAATTACGTTTTAAAAAGTATGAGAGCAGCGTAAAGCTCCTTAATCATCGTATGAGTTGAGAAATACATGCATATGTGGTGTGTATTGTCAATGAGAATTATCTGTTTAAATTTTTAAACAAAATATGCTGTATTCTATCCAAAAACAATATATTTGTAACGTCTTATAACACTTTTCATGAAGATAATATTCAGTAATATAAAAATATGTTCAGAAGTTCTTTACAGTTCTTAATAATCCACACATGATTAATGCCACGACACAAGTAAACAGTATCACAGTATTTCTGTAATCATTCTTTCACTGCGGACAACAAGTTGATCAATTTAACAGACAACTGTTTACTAGAGCATGTAGATAAACCTGCAATGGACCGTTGTTTGTTAGGAGGTTTGAGTATCTAATACAAGCGAGATGAGAGCTCAGATTTTTTGCTCAATGGAGTAGTCAATGAGTCAAAAAAAGTATTTGAGATTTGCCAAGCTCCTATGTTATGTTTTTGTATGTGATATGACCCAAGTGTTCATTTATTTCGTTTTCTTGTGTAAGACCCCCCTAGTAACATATATTTATCGTTAAGATAGGATAGACATTCTCAGCGTATGTGTCTGGCTTAGTTCGAACATATAGAAAGTTTGTCAACTTGTAAATTTCGACTTTGCATCCAAGACCTAGTTGTGTTCCCCAATTCTGACATAGTGTCTGGTTCACAAATATCTGGTTTTGCCCATGCGCTGGCGTAGTCTGCAACGGAATCCTTTAATATCTTCAAGTTATGATTCCAGTTAATTTGTAGGCCCTTTCTACATTTAAGACCATGATATATCATTTTCCGGAGATGATCATTTTGAAATACGATAAGATCGCCAGTAACTGCATGGCAATAGGGGCTTTGAATATACGAACATGACAGAGGTTATTTTAAGAATTCTTCAAGGTATTGCAATGCCTTTTCAGTTCAATGGTTCTGATGTAACTGTAGTAGACAATTGAAATACACAGATTAGTAAATAAAGCGGAATTGTGTATACACGCATAATAACGTTAAGAGATTATGCGCCTGACAAAGGATGTATAGCAGACTTGTTCCTTTACCGTATGAATCACAGTTTATGGCCAAACTCATATAACTTAATTGATAAATTCAACAACACTTACATTTATCTTGATGATATTTTTTCGTTAAATAATCAAGAATTATCTAACTACACTGCTTAAATTTACTCAAAGGAACTTACTTTAAATAAATCTAATATTAACAGCAATAACTTAGCTTTCCTAGATTTAGATTTTTCAGTATTACACCAGAAACTCTACACAAAAATTTACGACAAAAGGGATGATTTTTCTTTCCCTATTGTTAATTTTCAATTGTTGGACTGTGATGTTCCTTTGACTCCGTCTTATGGTGTTTATACATTGTATATCCCAACTCGTTCGCCATGCTGTGTCTGTAATGACGTTTTGGATTTTAATGAGCGTAGTCTATGTATAACTAGTAAATTATTAAGTCAGGGTTTTCGATACCATAAATTACTTAAAACCTTTAATTTACTAAATTTGTTCATAGATACCATGATTTGGTCTGCTAGTTTGGCTGTACCTGTATATTCCTGTGTATGTAAACGGAATAGCACATCCTAAATTGTACGGTGATGTTGTAAATCGAGCCCGGAAATTTAGATACAATCCGGGTAAACTTATCCATCCTTTAAATAAACTTATTGTAAAAGGTTACCGATTCAACACTGTAATTAAATCTTTGAATATTGTTTTTATTAGTGTAAATATTGATTTTATTATTAATAAATTAAAACCATACTAAATATTACACATATGCACCTTAACAGAACTACAAGCTGTCGATACTTATAGTTTGGCATTGCACGAGGTCATTTTTTCTCTGACTGTTAATAACGTCTTTACACTAAGTCCATTGGATGTTGGATGTGTAATGATTGATATTTTAGTGCTAGATACATGATTTGTTACATTAGTTGTTATTGGCTTTGAACTAGCTGTCAGTAATTGCGAGTACTCTCAGATCTGTACTTAGTGTCTTTTTCTGTTTGGGATGTATAAGTACCCAGCCTCGTTTACTTTGTGTTTTTGTTAGCTGTATTTCTATGTGTATCCATCTGATGAATTAAGCTATTGTCAACTGATTCTTATAGTTTGTTCTTATGTTGTATTGTTACACCACTGTCCTAGGTTAGGAGAGGGTTGAGCGCTCACAAACATGTTTAACCCCGCCACATTAATTCTTTATGTGCCTGTCCCAAGTCAGGAGTTTGTAGTTCAGTGGTTGTAGTTGGTTCATGTTTGTCATTTGTGTTTTTCGTTAATGGTTTTGTTATACATTAGGCCTTTATTTTCTCAATTGAATTGTTTAATTTTTTTTATGTCGGGGCCTTTTATAGCCGATCTTACAGTATTAGTTTTTCTCATTGTTGAAGTCCTTACAATTGCCTATAATTGCTTACATCCACTTCATTTGAACTTTGGTGGATAGTTGTCTCATAGGCAATCATACCACATCTATTTTTAGATGTATTTCCCCAATATGCAGACTGTTCTGTATAATTTGTTGTAGCAATTTTTTGTCTTTTTAAACTAGTAAGATGGGAACAATAACACCATGAAAATAGAAAAGTCCGTTTTGAAATAGTTTTCGAATCTAGTAATCGATTCTATCTACATAAGCATCATTCTTCATCACAAAGAATTTGTTTGTTAACTCGAAAAAACTATCTTGAAAGGACTATCTTTTTTTTATTCTGTAATTGTTCCTATCTTACTACTTTAAAAATACTGTAAAATATCTGCACCAAATTATACAGACCAATCTGCATATTGTAGAAAATACATCTATACATCCTTTTTCAAGCACATCATCTCTTATAATAATTATGCGTGAGATGTGAACTGCCAACACCACACTTTTCGTGAACTTTATACAGCCACATACAAATATAATGTCACAATACACATACAAACCACATTTGAGCACTAATCAATATATATTTGCCATATAGATTTCACAATCCTCAGGTTTGGTTGCACAAAACAATCAGATTTATCTTGAATACTAAACCATCCACTTTAAATTTCGTCACGTGCACAAAAACACGTGTTTTGTAACTGACATCGGCATCAAATGTATACATATATTTTTTTGAGTTAAGAAATAGAAAAACATATGATAACGATCACTACTAATTGGCCATATCATTGGAAAAGGTATAACAAAAATACAGAGCCCTAAGGAAAATTCAAAAAAGGAGGTCCATAAAAACTGACAAAATCAAACGCTATCAACAACGGAACAAGTGAAAAACAATTGCCATATTCCTTGCAAATTTGATAAGAATGTTCGTTGGACTCAATTTATTTGCATATTATATTGTTACATGTCTCAAATGGTATGTTTGTGTTTTTTCTTTCCACATTGACTCTTAGTGGTTTTCGTTTGTTCTGTTGTTGTTCTTTCTACAGTTATGGTTGTTGTTGGTCGGGCTTTCAGTCGTTGTTTCTATGCAGTCGTGTGGAATGATATCACTCGTATTACAAGCAGTACCAGGTGAAGAGGTACATGTTGATGGTCTATTGCAAGGAACAGAATTTACTGGAGGTGCTGAAAGGATATTAGAAAGATAAATAAAATCTGCAATAGTGTTGTATTGGAATCATGTGTTTGTTGAATCATACGAGGGTCTACAGTGACATTTTTCAATAAACAGTTATATGAATGTATTGATCGATTGATGGCCAACATCCAGTGACAAGTACATACACATCAGGAAACCCATTTTATGGTTAATATACGAATAATAAAATGATGTGTACCATACCTACACTTGGGATATTTGTTGATATATATAACATTAATATTGCTTATTCAAAAAGAAATTATGATGAGCCTTTTTGTATTAACATTTTGTTTTTCAATTAAACGATTAATATACCTACTTGATGGAGGTGATCCTGATACTGCAAAAGATTCAGATGAATTATCAGAAGGCTAAAATAATACATTTAATTTTCTTTATTAAGTTTTTTGTGACGTAATTGACTTAAGGACTAAAGGTTATTTATATGTACGGTCTCTTCTCTGGATAAACAAACAATAATTGTCTAGACTAGTTGTATACTTTTTAGATGCATGTTGATAGTTTATGCTCGACAAAAAGGTAGATATAACTGTCATACAAGTGAGAGGTTTAGCTAGCTATAAAACCAGGTTCGATCCACCATTCTCTACATAAGAAAATGCCTGTATCAATTCAGGAATATGACAGTTGTTATCCATTCGGTTGATGTGTTTGGGCTTTTTGTTTTGCCATTTGATTAGGGACTTTCCTTTTTGAATTTTCAGCGGAGTTCGGTATTTTTGTGATTTTACTTTTTCCATTGCACAACAAAACAAAAACAAGAAGACAAATTCTACATGTTCTACACACCATCACACTAAAGACTAAGGAGTACACACCCAACAAAATCCATGTTATACGCTATGAAGCAACCAATTCCAATGCCACCAATGATATTTGAGTGGCTCATTACAAATAAAGATTCCGTCATTGGTTGTATCTAGTGATGAAGTAAACAGGAAAGGGTGAACAGGATACACAATAGGAAATTTGTATCTGCTTGACTACATTGCTTTGGTTGTAAAACTATATAGTGCAACGTATGATAAAATTTCAATTATTACGGTACATACAAAAAATGAGGCGATAAATATCAAACGGACAACCATAATTTCAAGGTTGAATAGAAACCAACAATGATGTGCAAAAAAAATGACAAAAAACATAAACCCATAAAAAAAAAAACCAAAATGACACACAGAAAGAATGACAAAAAAGAAATACCGTAACTTTTTTCTGTTCTTTGTCTGTATAATCTGATTCAATTGAATGTTGGAAGAAATTTAACAACGGTTGTTCTTACCTACAGCTTCGAAAACGTCACCTTCGCCACAAATTCCACATAAATCAGTCAATTCTCTTGTCTGGTTGTTAAGGGTGTGGGGAACTGAAAAAGAATCAATGCATTGTTAAAAAACTTTAACACCATATTTGTGTAAATGACCTAGTAGAATGTGAATCACGACATACATATCGAATCAACAAAATCATATATTTTAATAGGTTTCTTCGTTTTTCTCATAACTATCATTTTGTATTGAATTCGTACACCTTGCTGGTCGGTGTGAGCCAAGGCTCCGTGTTGAAGGCCGTTCTTTGACCTATAATTGTTATTTGTATGCATTGTGACTTAGATGGAGATTTGTCTCATTAGCACTCATACCACATCTTCTTATGTATAATGTAGATGGTAATTTATGTGCTTCATACATGTTATGCAAATGTTATACAAAAAATTGGTAAGAATGCCTTCGAAAATTTTATATTATATTTTTAACTATTCTTGTGTGTCCCTTTCAGTTTATATATACATTTCACCAAATTCGATTTGGGTTATTACAGCCTACTGTTCCGGGTGTTTATGAATAACGTTAAATCATAAATACAGATAAATTATGTATCATGTCTGTTTTGTGATAAAAGAAATTATCAAAATACAATCCAACTGATATTTGAAATTGTTTTGGTTTATTCTAGCAAGAACCAGTCTAAAGGAATATTGAATCAGATGTATTTTGCTTTGCTTTGTGATCGCTTATTAGTGCTATACATTACTGTTTATGTTCTATATTGCATACTGCTATCGATAATAATATCGAATTCGATATGGTTGGTATTCTCCTCTGATTGATTTACATATTTGTCTTGTCGGGCGTTTTTATTGTGCATCGTTGAAGGTCGTACGGTGAATTGCTGGTGATTACAATAAGATTTTTAGTGGATAGTTGCCTCATTGGCAAAGATTGCACGCACATCTACTCACTTTTATATCAAGGAAATCACAATATGCAAATGATATAAAAATAGAAAATCTAATGAATTCTATTGTCATGTATGTCCTACTGAGGATTACCTTCATTAGTGTTATGTTCATATGTGGTCTTCTCTCATCATCTTGGATGGAGAGTTGTCTCATTGGCACTCATACCACATCTTTTAATATCTATATATGACAGAAAACAAACACAAAAATTATTATCAAAATATTTTGTTGGTATAAACAAAACCAAATGTTACATGTAATATGATGTCTTTTAGAATTTTATAATAATTAAGATGATCAACAGTAAATAACCACGTACATTTTGCTGTATATCGAAACTTCAGAGGGCTTTCAATATCATAAAAGATCACGTAACATTGAAATTTGTCAGTATCCTTTTCCCTGAAAAATTTTAAATATTATTATTATTTTTTGTTCAAAATGTCGATAACATGAACATCTAAAATTGATTTTATAACACATTTGATTTAATATTTCCATCACTTTTGAATTGACAGAAACAGTAATAACAATCAATATTCATCCTTTTTTGTCTTGATATTGTTAAACATCTAACCCCCTTGTTTTATTAATTTTGTATTTACAGTGTGTCATAGATCAAATGCATTCGTTCAGTGTATGTTCACTTGTTTTTGTTAATATGTCTTTTGATTGAGTTAAGCCATTTCAATTGATATTTTATAGTGTGTCTTTCTATGTTGTAATGTAACACTATTGTTTCAGGTAGGATGAAGGTTGGCACCTATTAAAACGTTTGAACCCGCTGCATTTGTTTGCACCTGTCCTAAACCAGGAACCTGATGTTCAGTGGTTGTCGTTTGTTGATGTGGTTCATAAGTGTTTCTCGATTCTCGTTTTTTATATAGATTAGACCGTTGGTTTTCCTGTTTGAATGGTTTTACACTAGTCATTTGTAGCCTGCTGTTCGGTGTGAGCCAAGGATCCGTGTTGAATGCCGTACTTCGACCTATAATGGTTTACTTTTACAAATTGTGACTTGGATGGAGAGTTGTCTCATTGGCACTAATACGACATCTTCTTATATCTATTTAATTGATGCATATCAACTAGCATAATGAATTGTTTATCAATTTTACCGCTTATACGAAAAGTACAGATGTAAATACTAGTATAGTAAATAAGATTCAGAACAACAACTGCTAACATGAGGTATTAAGAGACCGATACAACTCGGTTTATTTTAAATAATGGTTTCCTCCTTCGAGCATGGTTGTTTTTGTAATATAGTTATACGAAGAAGACATTAGAAAATACATGTACACCTAGAGGCAATAAATTATAATAATCTAGTAAAACCATTGCAAGCACTATGACATATTCTGCGAAATATTTTATGAACTGTTTACTTTTGTCTTTTCATCTTTTATCTTTTGCGTTTTGTCAACAGAAATATTCGATAATGTAGTTAGTCTTTAAAAGATTGATACATCATATAAAAACTTTCAGCTCTCAAAATGACTTTACTCTGTCATTAATCATTATTCATCATAATTAAAATGAAGTCTCAACTATTTATCTAGTCAATTTGTTGAACAACCTGCAACTAATTGCAACACAAAGTTTTTTCTCTGAAAAAACAAGTCTGTTACTATCTATGAACAACATACTAAAAATCTACAAAAAAATTATTTTGCGGAAAGTGGTGTAATTGATCACACTTTTTTTGGGAGTAAACGTAAGGTTATCTGAGTTGTTTCCCTTTTTTGGCAAAGTTGAAAAAATTAAGCTATACAAAAAATAATCTGTCTTTTTTAAAAGCAGTTGTAATAATAACATAAAACACATAATTTTCTCAATTTAAAAGAATTACAAATAAATCACTTCCCTCTCTCAAAATTTGCCTAATATTATCAATGCAGTCGTCTATCCTTGAAATCGGATTGAATTTCAGAGGTCATATGACCTAAAATTAACAACAGCGTCAAATGCAGGAAACACAAACTATGAATAATGTATATACCTGACAATAAGAAAGCGCTCTGTTATTTGATAACACTGCTGTTTTAATGTTGATTCATCAAAAAAAAGAGTAGATGTTTCACCATCAGCACTAAAACTGTTAATAGCGATTCTGATTCCGTCCTTTAAATATGTGTTAAATGTTTTATTGCGCCATGGACACGGAAATTTGCAGGGAAATTCAGTCACACCTGGAATATGAAGTTTAAAATTTGGCAAAAATAAAATATATGAACATGGGAACAGCTTTTAATTTTAATTTTATTTGTATTCTCTGACTGAAATATGCTAGCACATCGCATTCAGAATACTATATTTGACTTTCTATATAAGTTGTGTTCAACAACTGATAAATGTTAACTTTGTTACACCTCAGTATAAAAAAAAAATCGAATATAGTTATTTAATCTCGCCGTTGCAAATGGGTTAAACTTTATAATACATGAGCCTGATATCAATAAGGAATGTGTTGAAAAGAATTCATGATCATAAATTAAAATAGCTCTTTTTATAGTTCGTGTGATCGACGCACTTGTTTTAGATTGATTTTCATTAAAAACGCTCAAACGTACACAATTGACAGTCAGAAATGTAAACATGCGTAGGAATTGTAGGAGCGTTTTGACCAAACAAAATCTTGAAATAATAGTCAAATTTTTCTACGGTCAAATTTGCCTCAGGGAGTGTGAACCTTAATTTTCTAAAATATAAATAAGAGCACCAGCGGACATAAATATAGCCTTGTCAAGCATCTATGTTAGAACTGAAATAGCCCACAACAAAACTTTAATACACATTATTTGATTTTAATTTTTCATACAACCTAATTAATAACATTATATATTATCCTATGTTTATGCTTCGATAAGCACTTAATCAATAGCCCATGCCAAGAAATAGTATCAAAACAACTTTCAAACTCTATGAAAGCTGCAATTAACCTTTCTTCTTCTTTTTCATTACTAACAGCTGACAATGTTAATAAATGCTTTTTGTGTTGTATCTAGATCTAAATCCACGACATCATTGAATTTCATTCAAATAAATTTTCAACAAATGGTTTAAATATTTCATTCAAAAGTACATTGAATAATTCATCCCATCCTTTCATATGATATTGCTGTGACTTGTTCAAATGACTTTTGTATTATATCTATCGCCTTTAGTTTTATACGCTTACTTGGATTATCAATAAGCCATTTGCTGGATATTATACTTGTCATGTTAAGCATCTTTTCAGGAAAAGGTAACATTACATCGATATGAGTGCACGTGGTACATTTGATATATACTAAAGATTATACCACTGCATCGAGTGTGATATGATATTTCTTCACTCGACAGTTAAAAGTTGGTATTGAAAACGGGAGGCTTGCCGAGCATTTTAAATATAAATATTATATTACACGATATGCAGTGGTAGAATCAATATAGATACTCGGTGGAATCTGTTTCTCTAATGATTTATTTGCGATATGTAGACAAACTTTATCTTTACTCTTCAACTAGTTCAATGATCTGTCAAAACAAATAGTTGGATATGTGATGTCATCGGGCATGGACACAATAGCAAATTCAGAGGAAAGCATAATAAATCGACATCATAATTGAATTTTGACCAATGAAGAACTGAGATCAAACAAATCACACATTGATTATTTTATGTCCATATATTTCACAAACAAATTGTTCATTTAACATGAAGAAATATAAAATAATGTCTTACCTGCAGAAATTTCAAAAAAGAAGAACATCAAATATACCAACATTTTTGTGTGCATATTGCTTGCTCCTAACAGTACGTCTGTATCAAATAAATTCAGTAGACAATGTAAATAAAGAGGATGTGCTATCTATAAATATATATCTTAATTGCGTAATTTGTCGTTTTTCTCAAACCTGTTGCAACTTTACATTTCAAAAAAGAAATATTCAATTGTAAATACATTTTTAGTTATTTAATAACAAGTGTGGACACAGACTTGTGTTGTCTGATGGATGCGCAAATTCTAGAGCCAAGCATGCCCAAATGTCTCTCCAAATTATTAAATTCTGTTTTGTCTTCTGATGGGCGAATTTGGACACCGCTTTACATTGAAGCTGTACTACAGAAATTTCCGAAAGTCCTAAAACATTAATACGGAGCGACATCCCTCAGGGTATACAATTCCGATGACTTATGTGGTTCTACACATATGTTATTTATTTAATTTTGTCATGCTTAGACTCCCAAGACCAAACGTTAAAGGATTGGAATAGAAAAATAAAATGTTATTGAATCTTTGACATATGAATTTAATGCAAGAAAAAGTGTAAACGCTTCAGAATTTCAGTGAAAATTTTTGATAAAGATACTAATATTGTAATGAATAAATTTAGCGTCTGTTTAACCTTGTGTGTTTCATCCAATTTACATGGTTTAAAAAGTGATCATTGGCAATGAAACTCATCAGTAGGCTTTTCGTTTGGTATTTGATTTCATCATGCTTAAATGTATGATCAAAGTCAAAAAGTCAAAATAAAATTTGGTCAAAACATTTGAAATTTGCATTTAATGCAAGATATAAAAATCATCTTTAATAATTCAGAATATCAAGGAATACGTGTGGTAATGATACAAAAATGCAAAAAATAGATTTAGCGTCTGTTTGGCCTGGTGAGTTTTGTCCCGTTCACATTGATTTTTAAATGTGATCTTATGCAATGGGACTCATCAGTAAGCTTTGCATATGAGGTAACATACTACAGGACTATTTGAATAGAAAAGGGCCTTGTTTCATATATTTACGTTAACATGCATATTTTTTTTAATCAATTGAAATAAAATTGCTCACAGTCAATTAAAAAAAAACAAATGCTTATCAATACCTATGGGATTCAAACAAAATATGCAAGGTATGAATAATATGTATATATATATATCAAAGTAGATTTAAAAAAAGTATGTATTTGTTCCAATATTGTTTTATATGTAATGTTTATGAAAAGGGGTGGGTCAATTTTATCATTTTGAACCAGGAGTGAACAGTTGGACATTCGATACCTCACCCTTTTTATCTGATTATTCAAATCAAATAGAAATATAGCTTTGTGACATTTTCATGGAGAGTAAAAATGACTTGTAAGATATTGTTTATACATTTTAATTGCATCTAAATATACTAAATATTTCAGATACTTATATCAATGTTCTTTTAAACAATTTTTTCCTAATTTTCTTCATTTGCTCAACACCATAAATCAAACAACTAATCAAAATGCATGTACACAATCATTGCACATATTTTTTTAAGTATATTTTAATTGACTGCGTTCAGAAAAGTACAAAAAAACGGTCTAATCATCAAGGTGATTATTTTACAAATTCTATTTATAAAGTGGAAATCCGCGAACTTAAATGGAAATTATACAAAAATGGGACATTTTTCGGAAACAAAAGACAGTAAAAAAATGTAACATTATAGCAGAAGATGGATAGGATTGGGGTTCCGTTAATTGATATTATAAAACTAACTCTCCCTACCTTGGGAAAATATCGGGGTATTTCCGACTCATTTGGATCACCACAAACAGTATGTTTATATATAGTATGGTAATAAATTGGTTAATGGAAACATCGAAACATAAAAAATTAGCCTAGCATACATAGCTCATAACTTTGATAAACATCTATTGCATGAAACCGTTTGTGTTTATAAGCTGGTAGTCGACTTAAGAAACAATAATTTGTTAAATGTCTCACGAAATGTTACACTTATTCATTTTTCATAATCAGTAGCAATATGGATTAAGATGACAGGAAAAAGCAATATGTTCTGTTTTCCACCTCACTATTCATGCTAATACCAATACTTGATTATTTTGTCGCTTAAGAGTTCAACGCATTCCTTCACTTTCCATGTGCTTGTATGTAAACTTTGGCAAAACCATGAAATCGAGTATCAGCGAAAGAATACTGTTTTATTATTCCCTGAGAATTATACCCATAGAAATAAATGAATACAAAGTAATATAATTTAAAATACTTGAAACATCTGTTATGAAATCTGTTTTTATTATAATAATTAATGCAAATGCTAAACACACGTCATTTGTTCATCTCGGTTTCGAAATATTTGATAAGACATTTAATTTCACGAAAAAGAAATGAAAGTTATTCAAAATACGGAGACGTCTTGGTTTGATAAAAATAGAAATATCCAACTCTTTGAAGTTTGATTTGAACTTTTATGGACCGTGCTATTAGTTTCATCCGAAATAAGAAGGCACAGTATTTAAAGATAATATATTTTAGTTAAACATATACAAATCAATAAGGAAAAGACTGTTACGTTTTTCATAGAATAAACTGTTTACACAGATATATATGTTCAGGTATTTCACATCCAATCTTTTATGGTAATATTCTTTACAGAGCACAAAAATGTCGGCATTCACCTCAAACGCTAACCAAACCTTTACACAGCCTTATTAAGAAGGGATATAGTTACGATACTGTTGTCAGGTCATTAAAGATGGCATATTTTGGTATTAATATTGATTCACTCATACGGTCTTTGCATCGGAAATTAACACATTTATTTTAAAACTAGTCGTTGGCATGATACGGGTTATGTTCTTCTCATAAATTTTATGATGGTATGACATTAAACCCTAAACTGGAGGGATTGTGCTTGATTTTCATATGATGACGACATAATCTTTCAATCAGTTTAATTGAGGTCTGGAGCTGGCATGTCAGAAACTGCTAGTAGTCCTTTGTTAATTTATGTAGCATTGTTATGTTGCTTAGTTTCTTTTGTTGCCTATTCTGACATCGCACTCGGACTTCTTTTAAACTGAGTTTTACCTCTGCGTTTTGCTGTGTTTTTGTTTTTTCTATATTTGCTAGAGCTATAGGGAGAGGGTTGAGATCTCACAAAACATGTTTAACCCCGCTGCATTTTTGCGCCTGTCCCAAGTCAGGAGCCTCTGGCCTTTGTTAGTTTTGTATGATTTTTCATTTATTTGTTGTGGAGTTTAGTACGACGTTCATTATCACTGA